GGTTGCTAAGCAAGAGCGTTGTTAAGTGAGTTTCACCACATTTTACAAGTTGGCCATGGCCACCCGGTCACATGACCGGCAAGCCACTCCCACCCAGTCACAAAGCCAGCAAGCCACTTCCACAAAGCAGGCCACACCTACAGAAGAGGTTCTAAAAAAGTTTGAAACCCACCACTGTTTCCAGCCCTCTCTAAGCGGTTTACAGAGTCTGCCTCTTTCCCCCAACAATCTGACTCTTCATTTTACCCACCTCGGAAGGATGGAAGGCTGAGCAAACCTTGAGCCTGGTGGGATTCGAACTGCCAAATTGCAGGCAGCCGGCAGTCAGCAGAAATAGCTATTTTGACAGCCAACCTTAGCAATGCTTCTTCAGGCCTTCTACGTTTGGTAAATTGTGGCCTTCCACACCTTGGGAACAGGATTTCTAGAGTACTCTTACTGGAATCTTAGGGTGATATAGCCAAGGATGAGGGATGGCACCAGGGGTTGGATTCAGTCATTTTGGACTGGTTTGGGCGAACTGATGTTAATTTTACGTCTGGTTTGGTGAACTGATAGTTCCGATGACTGGCCAAGTTTTGGAAACTCAGCTGCACTGGTAAGAAGGAGAAGGAAGGAAAATGAACGGATGGACCCTTATAATCTTAAGGCAGGCAGCAACCAGAGGCTAATTTTTACCAAGTCTGTGTAAATAGCACGAAAGCACCAAATATTTGTTCCTTAATGTATTCCAGCAATTCAGTAAATCAAAAATTGCAGCTCTATCCGGTATGCAAATACGTTGTTGTCCCGGCGATGAATATGTCTTTTTTTCTCCCTCCTTTTTATAACGTTGCCTGCTCCACCACCTGGCAAAGCAAATCCTTTTCTTCCCCAGCTCCGTATAATGGAGGCCGTCTAAGGGGAATGAAATAAAATGTTAATTCAGAATTATTTAATTCAGAATCATTTTAATTTGCTTTTCAGTCAGAATTAGATATAAATAGGGTTCACTCCCCTCCCCGCCACCCTTTTTTTAACATTACACAAATTACATCCGTACTGATTTCTGTGGAGGGCATTAGCATTTTAATCAGCCGTGCCATACTGTATCTGGCAGTCCAGCTACAACTCAAGGTGTATTGATTTTTCTTTTCTTTTTTTCCTTTCAAAAAAATCACATTCTCCATGAACATAAATGAGGAATGTTGGTGGGGGAAATTGTAGTCCTATGTAGCAGCCCAATGGCATCTCTTTACACTTTGAAACTTCCAGAGTATTCAGATTCAGATTCAGATTCAGAAGTTTC